AATTTAAACATAAGTTCACTAGAGGATTTTATTTGAAATGTTGAAAACCAAAAATCTAAATTTCTCAAAGAGCGCCTTACAAGGATAGTAATGCGGCCAGAGGCAGATCCTCTCTTAACGGACACCTTAACGTTATTGTGACACCGATGTCAATAGATAATCTCTTAACAAAGAAGTAAAACAAGATTGAAGAGCGGTTTACAAAACAGACTGTTGGCTGATAAGGTATGTATTCTTCATTTTGTCAGACACGACTGAAAGCTTGTCAACGCAATCCTGAACGGAGTTAAAATATGAAATTCACATATGATTTGTCTTAGGATCACTGAGCAGATTGTATAAGTGTAAAAATCTCTTTCGTCATTAAAAGTAGCTCTAATCGAATGCTTCTGTCTATCTATTTTATTTAAATATTTTTTGCATTTTCTGTTTGTCTAGGTGATTTTCTTTCTTCTTCAATTGTCACCGTACTGCTGTAGATCATTTTCTGTTTTCGGAATATTAAATACCATCAGCGTCTATAAGTAGGGGATGATCTGTAAAGGAAAGGAGGGAAGCAAAAAAACTTTCGGATACAAATTTACGCTCACCATTTCTCACAATGAGTTCCACAAAATGAGTGTTGAAGTTTAAAGCGAGGGAAGCGAACTTTCTCCCCCATCCTGTTCCACAGGCCGTGACGGATATGAAGACATGCCACCATGGTTTTTATCGAACTTTCGACTATAGTTTTTGAATAATCGAGTTTACGGTTTTTGAAGTTTCGGACACCAAAATTTTCGATTTTTGCATTTTGTATCAATTTGATATACTGAAATTTCAGAAATTTATTTTTACTGTCGAGAAAACTTCTTAACATGTTCCATCATTTGGAACTCATATTTTAGGGATTATACGAAGTATCAAAAAGAATAGTTTTCCCCTAAAACGATTCATGCCCATGCACCTTCCACAGAGAGCAATGTCCGTTTCATTACGGTTTTGGTTGATGCTCACGGCTTTCTTGAAAAATTCGAATAAGTGAGTTTTGAGCTGAAATTTTCTCTGCAATCAGCTCTAATATCTATATATTTTGACAAAGAGAACGGTTTTTGGCTGTTGAATATTTTGGAGATAGAACACTTGTCTGAGCTGACACTGCTAGATCTTTCTTATAGCTATTAGTGCTAATTGCGGAGAAAATTTCAGTTCAAAATTCACTCATTCGAATTTTTCAAGAAAGCCATGAGCATCAACCAAAACCGTAATGAAACGAATATTACTTTCCGCAGAAAGCGCATGAGCACAAACCCTTTTACCTCATATAATTCCTAAAATACGAGTTCAAAACGATGGAATATCTCCAGAAATTTCCTTCTGAGACGTTTTTTGCATGTTCATTGTTTTATTCTACCAAATTGATGTTATTCTAGATTTGAGATACTCAAAAAAAAAGGAAAACGAAAACACATATTTTCGTGCTACTCGTTTGGCATCATGCTCTGTTTATTTGTGCAAAATGCAATGCATTCAATTAAAATGAACTGGAAATTTCATGTGAATACTTTATTTTATATTATTAGTTCATGCCTTTTTGTCTTAGGCTCAATCTTTTTCCTTCCTTACTTTTCGAAGATCGAAACATTTTACAAAGCGGCTGTATTGAATTATTTCTTTGGTTCGGTTCTAATCTTTCTTGGCTCACTACAGGAACTAATCACCAATTTTCAAAGTGTTTCTTTTAACAATAATTGCTCACTTCCTACAGACACTAAGTCAGTCGACATAGATTCAGCAGTATCATTCTGTCGAAATACACTCGGAATTGTTGATGGTCTCTTATTTACGATTGGTTCAATGGCGTTTTGGCCTGCATTCGGTAGATATGGTTTCATTCTCGGAAACTGGATGTTTTTCTGTGGTTCAAGTCTAGGAGCAGTGAGTAATACATGGCTTCTGATCCGATTACAATTGAAATCGGCAGAATTTACAATAATGAAGCTATTAAATCTCCTATCATTACTTGGTTTAATTGGATTTCTAATTGGTGTTGTACTTTTTTTAGTTAATGACCACTACGAAGTCGAAGCTAGTTTTGCTTTTCTGGGGGGTTCAATCGCATTTTTGCTATCATCAATCCTTATATATATGTTGTAAAGATATTCAATATGAATGAGTGATCACAATAAAAAGAATATTCATCGTGTACATTGTTTTTTTTTGCTTGTATCCACTGTATTATTCTCAATAAATAGGTTAACAAAGCTAGTTAGCATACTGGAAAACAATTTAGATTGAAGTAAGCCATGCCAAAGATAATCTCCATGATTACTGAAATATATTTCGATTGATAATCATAAAGGTATTGATCAGTAAGATTTTTTATTGATAAAAACTGTAAGCATGGATAAGATGTGTCATTACTCAGTGAACAGCAATTGAAAGTATCACTCAATTTATTCTGTTATTTGACAATTCCGCAATGCGTATCGATCGAACTATTTGGGAATATCTTATGTCTTTTCACTGGATGTTCTCATGTGGGAAGTATTTTCTAGTAGTCAAACTTTCTTCAAAACAATTCAAATAAGGCAATCACCATCCAAGATATGCCTGTGGACGCATTCATATGGGTGTGGATGCAGATGTGATAAGCTGTCATGATAGGTGTTTCGATGTTGCTTAAGGATTTCATGAGGTGCCAATAAATTCTATATAATTTTATGAAGAATTACAAAAATGATAATTTATTGTTATAGAATGTGAATTTTAATAGTTGATGTAATTTTTATGTAGTTTTAAGGTACTGAACAAGTTTTTTAGTGTAGTGAGCAGTCTTTTTGTCGTCAGATTTTAGTTGATCTCCTATGATTAATCATGTTTTATGAGCTTTGCGGCTTTGAGAGTTCCGGATATTTTAGGGTTGATCAGAGTCAATGTTTTTTATTCAAATTTTTAGGAAATGCTCATAACCTACGGCGCGGAAGTCTTGGCACAAATTTGTTTTTCTTATATCTTTATTAGCAAAAGCTTTACTATTTGACAAATAATATCAAAAGAAAGTACAAACAGAGATGTTCTAAAAATCAAAATGAACAAGCTACATATGGTCCTTTATTAGCGATTTTTCGAATTTGTTTTACGATAGATGAAAACATGACTTGTCCAGACTTCATATTGTTTTCTTTCAGCTTTTGAGTTATTCTTGTTTTCAACTGGTCAATAGTTTTTGCTTCTCAACCATTAGTGTATATTACTTTACGTTAACTGAGGACACTGCATCAACTAGTCGTGGGTTCTATACATCTGATCCAAACACCGCACCACAAGATGTGAAATTCAAGCGGGTTCAAAAATATTCTACTAAGCTTTTCGTTTGGATTGCTGTATCTCAAAAAAGTGTCTTAGAACCATTTTTTCAGAACAAAAGCGAGAAATCAATAAAACTACATATCTCACGCATTGTATTAAGGAACGTTTAATACCTTGTAATAAATAGCTGTCACAAGGCCGACAGAATTTTATTCTAGTCTGATTTGGCAACAAGCCATTATGCATCATGTGTAATTGAGTTTTTAGAAGAACACAATATTGATGTAGTGCCAAAAGGAAAGAATCCTCAAAACTGCTCTCAGGCACGTCCTACTGAAACAATTTGGTGGATTTTGGATGATAAAGTATATACTAATGGTTAAGAAGCAAAAACTGTTGACCAGTTGAAAACAAGAATAACTCAAAAGCTGAAAGAAATCAATATGAAGTCTGTACAAGTCATGTTTTCATCTATCGTAGAACAAATTCGAAAAATCGCTAATAAAGGACCATATGTAGCTTGTTCATTTTGATTTTTAGAACATCTCTGTTTGTACTTTCTTTTGATATTATTTGTCAAATAGTAAAGCTTTTGCTAATAAAGATATAAGAAAAACAAATTTGTGCCAAGACTTCCGCGCCGTAGATTATTGTAGATGTAATAGATGTGTACAAAGGGATTATTTGTCAGTTAAATCAATGTTTAGAGCGAATAGTCAGAAGCCAAATATAAAAAAGAGAGCGCAAGTAAAAAGTTAAAAGAAAAAAACTTCTGTGCTAAATGCATAAATAAATAAGTCAGATCGTTTATCTGACAATTGATTAATCTTAGAATGAAACTACCGTTTGTTAGAGATTTTTCAATTAATGTATTTTGTATTAGTGCTTAATAAAATTGAAAAAAGACATACAAGTTTCATATTTCGGCCACAAAGAAATTGCGCTGACAAGCTCTATAACATACTGCCGAATATCAGGACGCATATAAAATATTTGAATGCGTCCATGATCTCAATTACTAGTGACGTAAAATTGGTTCATGACTATGATGACGAAAATACTCCATGATTAGTTTTTAGACATTGATGTATATATCATTTGTTCATATAACAATATAATGATCTATGTTATTTAGTTTAACATTTAAAAATGGTAATTTCTTGATAAAAACTATTCATTTTGCAAGGATTTCCCGATCATTCTCTCCTATCATTACAATGCAAAAAATAAAGATTCCTATTGATAAGTAGTATATGTTGAAGTCGATAGTCCTTTAAACCATGTGTCGAGAAAGAGATACTATTCAAAATAGTTAGAAAAAAAAATTATTTATTTACGTAAGTATACCGACTTTAACGGCCTATCAATGAATGATCCAATTGAAATGTCAAACTCATTAATATTTAATGTCGAAAAAAATGATCTTACAAGGTTTACACACTTGAGAAATAAGACAAAATCATAATTATAAAATATATAGCATACATGGGAAAGAAAAATAGGAAAAAGAAGCGACTGTTAACATCAACAAAAGTACTGTCAGCATATTAACAACAAAAGAAAGAAAACAAAGTCACCGTTTGATCTTGCATAAAGAAAAAAAAATGAAAGAACTTTCAGATATTAATAGACTACGCTAATCAAAGAAAAAAAAAAGGTTTTTAAAATGAACTAATTCTATTCAATTCAAATTAACATGCACAATTTTATCATATGTTCGATGAATGAAGTAATTGATTGAGACGGATCCGATTATCAATCATAGACTTGAGCAAACGGTCATGTTCTTGTTCAATAGCAATTAGTGAGCGTGATCGTCTATAAAAACAAAAATTCAATATAAAAAAGAAACGTTTGTATATCAAATGTAAAAAAAAAAATTACGCCATTTGTTGTAATGCTGCTGCCATTGGTGTTAAAGAACTCGATGTATTTCGTTCTTCTGCGACGGGCGTTGTCACATTTTCAGAATCCTTTTAAAAAAAAATATTCGTGATTACTTATAAAATAATAGAGATTAAACGTCATTCGTCATCTACTAATCATAATCAATATTGATTTTATTAATCTTATCTGCAATTCTTAGATTTAACAATAAATTTTGATCCTTTCATGCAATATTGTTTTCTCACATGTTTCTCTATTGGTCGAGACTGATATTCATAATATACACTCTAGACATCCAGGTCTACTCTATGCTAGAAGTTCAGAATTTTACTTATTATTGTTACAGAGATACAAGCGATGTCAAAATCCTCAAGATTTTTGAATGATTTTCGAAACCATTCGATAACCCACTCATTATGAATAACGTTTGGTTTTCTGCATATAATTCTGCCGTTCTATAATTTGCTCACACTACTATGAGTGGGAAAAAAAATCATACAATATTTCTTTTAAAAACCTCTTACGTCACTATTCTAAATTTGCACAATTAGATTAACTTCTCAGATTCACCACGGTTCTGGCTGTTGGACTTGTAGACACTCAGAGCGAGTGCAAACTGACACGACTTTACAATCGTCCTAAAGAAGCGACCGCTGTCACAATCATAGCAGCAGCGCCACCATGGACATCGCTGATTGTAATGTGTAGAAACAGCAAAACATACGAAACAATTATATGAAAAAACATTGACAAGCGTATTGATTCCGAAATAGATGATGCGAAATGTATTCTTCTGGTTAATTTTTTTTTAATATCTCAGTGCATGAATATTTTTAAACTCTTAGAGAAATGTTAGATTTCAGTCACAATCATCACCCTTGACTATTGTGAGCGTGCTCAAATTGCCTGTATCACTCACATCAGCTTTTGTTACTTAGTTTTCTAGTTTGATTATTTATTGAAATCGATTTCTTCAAGACTGAAAATATTAGTTTAATAGAGAAGCTATTAAAAAACTTGATAAAAAAGAAAGAGTAAACGGTTTGAACCGTCGAATTTTTAATGAACTACGGTCAATCATCGATTTTGATGAAAAATTGACGACGTGAGTTGAGAATATATGGGATGCCATTAAGAAAAGACTGAGAAGTAAACAATTTGACAAAGAATTAGAATTAGAAAATCATAAATCTCATTTCGAGCAGTACCTTTCATATTACATTATTAATAAAATGTCAAAAAAGATTTCAAATATTTTAATGACTTTGATTTCATTTGTACGTCTAGAACAATAACAAGCAAAAAACTAAAGTTCTAGAATAGAGTAGATCTAGACGTCTAGTGTGTGTGTATTGTAAGATTTCTATCAAATGGAATATGCACCGAGTTAGTTTTGCTAAAAATTGCAAGAAGATGACGACTCTAAGACAATAATCTGGTTTTGATAATAAAGACACAGTGAAAGTTCTTAACAATTAATGCATATGTGCAAACTTCTGTTTAACATAGAAAAAAAAAAAGTTTTCTTTCCATCAATTCATTCTCATACGTTGAAGGTCACATACAAAGAAAAAGAGAATTAAATACTCTAATCAGTGTAAATTTACCGTATCTTCAACTGCTGGTGATGTTTCAACCGGTAAAAATAATCCAATTGTTTTACTAAAAAACAAAAAAAAACCAAAATCAATAACGTTTCTATTAATAATCATGTAAAAAGTCGAAAGAAGAAATTTATCAAAGCAAAGTTGAATAAAGTAACAAATGATCTGCAATTGTGCATCACTCTTTGTAAAAACATCTAACCTGATTGTCTTGAGTATTATATCATATAGTTGTCGAAAAATTGAATAATTACTGAAGAAGGAGGAGAAGAAGAATAAAAACGTATATTCAAATAACCAATATAGAAATGAACTATTCT